AGAGAGAGAGAGAGAGAGAGAGAGAGAGAGAGAGAGAGAGAGAGAGAAAGAGACAGATAGACAGAGACAAGAGACAGACAGAGAGATGGACTGTTTTCGTTCCTTCTTGCCCTGGTCGGCTCTGTCCTGTCCGCTTGTGGTTGATTTCTCCCTCTAGCCTCTAGTCCGCGCTCCTAAGGCAGCTGACACTATCACCAAGAGAAGCCTGGAGGAAAGTAACCAGCGAACCCAGCCAGAAGGGTAGGCAGAGAAGAGGAAGGGCGCACGGGGAGGGGAGGGGCAGGTGGCGCTGGCAAGGGGAGGATGGAGGAAGAGTAGGAGGGACTTTAAAAAGATCTCTTTGAGCACAGTGGCTGCATTCCTGCTAGCAAAAAGACAGAGGCAAATAGAATTTCTTCCTTATTTTGTTGTTTGTTGTGGAGGATTTTGCTATTGTAGTTTGTTTTGGATTCTTCTGATTCCAAAGAAGATCACCACTATATGAACACCAACCACACTTGGCTACTTTCCTGGGTCCCTTAGAAGGGCTGTAGACTAAGACACCTTTGCCATCATCCTAGAGTTTACACGTCACCGTTCTTTTACACATACATCCTCATCTTCTTCTGAGGAGAAAAGCGAAGTGAAATTCCAGTCCTTGTTAAAAAACAAGATAAGCTAACCACCACAAGCCCCTTCCCAGAGCCTCCTCAATAGGTTTCCATGGAGGAAGCTGATGTGAGAGTCGGTGGCCTCTGGAGGAACTGCCAGGTGGGGCAGACTTGAGCGTATCTAGTTCTGATGTCCAAGCTATTCCGGTATCCTAGGCACTTGTCGTCCCCCAAGGCCAGATTGTGTTTCACTATGTAGCCAAGGCTGGCCTTGAACTAACAGTCCTACTGCTTCAACCCCCTCCCCCTGCCGGCCTTGGGATTACAGGGATAGGTCACAAATCATGGGCTATCGGTACTGTTTTCAGAGACTCTTCAAAATAAAGCCCACTTTACAGACTAGAAAACTGAGAGCAAAGGTGATACACAGTGTGTGGGCAGAGCTGAACTCCGAACCCACAGGGCCTGGCTTCTAGGATACTGTCACTACATGCCTAAAGATGAGAGTAGCATTGGCTGGAGCAGACCATCTCTGGGCCTGCGCTTAGCATGGTTGCTGGCAGAAGGACTCTCAGTCGGTTCCATTACAGATCTGGGCCGTGGTGTGTGTGTGTGTGTGTGTGTGTGTGTGTGTGTGTGTGTGTGTGTATGTTTTAAAGAAATGGGTTCACAGGTCACATTGAACCTCAAGTTTTAGTTTCTCCTCTATTGGTGATCCTCTTAGAGTTTTGTTGGAACAATATTAAAAAGCAGTACTCGGTGAGTGGCACATGACTAATCTTCAGTAGAGACTCAATCTCCGCCATCCAAAATTATCCCAAATGCAGACCACATTTCTCCCTACTCAGTCACTTCTCAGCCCACTGTCCTGTTGTTTGGATTTTGCCCTTAGCCACCCTTGGAATAGCACTGTAGATAATGACACGTACTTCAAGAGTGGTTGAGAGGCTTCAATGAGATCATGTGGGTGATCTCCGCCTGGCATAGAAAACATAATAGCTTTTGTGATTAATAATGAAAACCTAATTGCAAAATTCAATAGGCACTGGAAACTTACTCTTTGATTTCCCCTGTGAATCTCTGTGTTCCCTCCCCTTTCTGCTCCTTCTCGGTTGTGTGAAATGTTCTCACGTCTTCGTGCTCTGCCTTGAAGCAATGCCAAAAGCAGAGGAAAAAAAATTCCATTCTTCCTACCTGAGGTGGTCCCTGGCACTTTGTAGTCTAGTTTCCCCCGGCCAGAGCCCTTGGTGGGTGTGGAAAGTCTCTCCAGTTTCTCCTTAGTATGTCCAAGGAAGGGTCTCCCTCATGCCTTTAACTACAGCACACATTCCCTTTGCGTAGTCTGCTGGCCTATAATCCATATCACTCTTATGATTTGTGGAAAGCTAGGTCACGGGAGCTGGAAATCACTGCATACCTTTTGTGCCTTTCACCTCTTTCTAGCTGGATGGACCTTCACTGCTCTGTGCTCCTATTTCCTCCTTCAGGCCTAATAGCACACTACTGTAATCCTAGGACTCAGGAGGCCCGGTTCTTTGGAGACTGTACGTGGGAAGCCAGAAAAGGCCAGCTATGAGTTTTAGGCCACTCTATTTTACATCGCAAGACTAAGACCCTGCCAGAGGAGAGGGAGGAGGGAAGTAGGGAACGAGGGAGGAAGAGAAGAACTATAAATGATAACACACTGCCCAAAGTATACTAAATGCTTCTAAGAGTTGGCTGGAACCTAGGAAAGTTGCCTGCTAGTTTTTGTCTCAAACTGACAACAGACCATATCCACCCTTACATTTTAGTGACCAGCTGTTAGACTCGAAACAAGCAAAGTAACAAGGAAATGCTTGATGTGTGAAGTGATCCCCACTAGAGGCTGCCAGCTGTATCAAAGACTAGAACAGCTCTGAATGTGGAGGCTGTTAGCCCAAGTGGGCAGCACCATGGGGATCCAAACCCCCATTTTAGACTCATTTACACAAATCCCCCCAGAAAGAGGGATCCATAGAGGAAACGGGGGAATCTAGGAGCAGTGCATAGCAAAGACAAATGAAGGCATCTGTGCCAGTCTTCTAAGCAACGCTTGGGGGGGGGGGGAGACTGATTTGAAAGCAAATTGCATTGGAAATAAACTGCTCCCTCATCTGCACTCCTGGGTTTGTCACTGCGGGATACTTCAAGACAGCAGGACAGAATCTCAGATCTGGTCATCTAAATTGGTTGAGAATGCTGGTATCTTTTGATGCCTGCTCTCCCCAAACAATAAATAACTGGATCATAGGCTTTCTAATTCTTGTCAGCCTCGGGTTTAGGATGTCTTGATTTATGGAGGAAACTTCAGAGCTAAATGCATCACAGGCACAAATGTCTTGTATCTGATCTCTCTATTGTGTCAGATTAATTGAGTTCTCTTAATTTTTGTTTGTTTGTTTAGTTTTCTGAGAGAGGGTTTCTCTGTGTAACAGCCCTGGGTGTCCTGGAACTTACTTTGTAGAACAGTGTGGCCTCAAACTCACAGAGCTCGACCTGCCTCTCCCTCCTGAGTGCTGTTGTTAAAAAATTGCACCACCACGTCCAGCGTGTTGTTTTAATTCTTAATAATAGGATCTTCCCCACTTTATGCCAGTGTTACTATTACAGACAGCTACTGAGCCAGGGACACATTCTCCCCTCTTTCTTAAATGCAAAGAGTTAAAGAAAGGCTTTCTCATAGCTGCAAACCACAGCAAAACATAATTTGAATTTTAGTGGAGTTTGTTGAGTTGAACTCTACTTTTGGCTATAAAACCCTAGATCTGTATGTGTGTACCTGTGCATAACATTTCTTTTCTTTTTCTTTTTTTTTTTTTTTTTGCATTCTTGAGCACCATGTGCATTCATATGCTAAAATCTTCCTATAAAAAATGATTATTGAATACCCATATACTGTGAAACACTGTTCTCTGAGTATAGGCAGCGCCCGAGGCCCCACAACCTTCCCCGTGGCTATGTAAGTGGATGATGGCTGGGTTTTAAGGGCTCTTCTTCAGTGGTGTGGCCAACAGTAAGTTGCTCATACTCTTGCAGATAGCACCTTCCCCGTGCTCCTATAGGTAACCACAGTTATGTAAGCTGGACATGGACAGAGATGTTTGTCTTGCTCTGTCACTGGTACTCTGGAATGAAGACTTGTATGTTCCCACAGCCCCAGGAGAAATTAACACAGCATCATGTAAGGCAGCATTTGCAGCTGTGGGTTCTGGTTCTTATCCTTTTTATTTCTCCCATCTTTGTTTCATCTATCCAGTAAATATTTAGTATCTACTTTGATCGTGACACTTAATTTAGTGTCAGGAATAAGACGATGACATCATAATGATCTCTTCCTGGGAAAACTTAGTCTCCTGGGGGCATGTGATAACTTATTAATTAACTTTGGAAATACTGATGTAATTTTGATTGACTGAGTCATTTTTCCCCCTGCTAACCACAGAATACACACTGCACGGAAAAGGTGGCATCTGAACAGTTTAATAGTTAGGCAGGAAATTTTCCAAGAGATTTTTAGGTAGCATATTCATTGCAAAGGAAGAGCATCATTTATCTAGGGATAGGAGAGGCCACTCATATGGCATTGCCTTTGACTGGTACCTAATGTTCCTCGCCTCTTAGTTCCTCAGTTAAGTCACAGTAACCGTGTGCTTTTATTTAGCTACAAATGACATCATTGACTTTGGCTTCTCTATGGGGCCTCAGCTCCCACTTACAATAAATGTGTGGATATTCTGTTGATGTCATGAATTTAGCATTTGAAAAATGAAATTCATCATTTTTACCCTTCAAATATATTCTTGTTTGGAAGCTTTTATAAATGAACCCATTATCTGTTCAGTCACCCTGGTTCCATGCCCTGTTCTCTTATTCGACATTTTCTCAGGTCATCACATGAGTCCATGAAGTGCATCTTTTTGGAACTTTCCCCCATCTACCTTATTTATTTTTATTGCAAACTCATTCATTGAGATATGGATTTATTTTAAAAATAGGTTAGTTTCAAAATCTCCAAAGTGGCCCTTAGGCTTTGTTTTGTTGTTGTTGTTGTTGTTTTCATCACTCCAACTGTGTTTGATTTCTACTGCTGTATAAGAAATCACCACAAGCATAGACAGTTAAACAATGCCCATTTATCAACTCACAAGTGTTTAGTACAGGTGCACCTAGCTGAGTTCTCTGCTTGGGGTCACACAGTTAAATTCTTGGTCAGTTTGGCAATCTCATTTGAGGGCTCTCAACAAAAGTATTTTTCCAAGCTTATCCATTTTCATCCCTTTCTGCCAGTTATGGGATTGAAATCTAGCTGGCTGTTTCTCTGGGTTTGTACCAGCTCTTGGAAGCTACTGGGCATTTCTACTATGAGCTCCCT